TGCTAGACATATCTTAGCAACCCAAGATGATTTTAAAAACCAAAAACCCTTACTTCAAGAATTAATTGAAGAAAGAATATAAAGTCATCTTCTATTCAAAGTTTCACTGTGAGCTTAATTACATTGAAATGTATTTGGGGGCTGCTAAATGATATGTTAAACATTTCAATTACACATGGAAAAGTCTTCAAGAGAATGTCCCTAATGCTTTTGATTCTATATCACTGAGACAAAATTGGTAAGTATGTGGCAAGAGCCTCAAGATTTAAGGATTGTTACAGGAAAGGATTAACAGTACTACATGCTGAATATATTGTAAAAAAATATAAGTCACATAAAGGATTCCAGACAATGTGATAGATGAAATAGATGAATTAAACCAATAATATTTTTATTTTTGATTGACATCTTTAATTGTGCCATGTTACCTCAAATTTTTTTAACATCAAATTTGTAATGAAAGTAATAAAAAAAAATTCAAAATTTTTGAAACATTTTGCGCAGCATTTGATGGGTTATAGTGGTGTGCACCATACTGATTTATAACTCATTTCAGCTGGTAAGAATGTAACTGATTGAGTTTAGTGTTCCATGTTGCAACCCAAAAAAGGAAACAAAATTGTTGTAAAGGTGGTAGCAACTATCATCAAAAGTTGCAGCCAGTATCCTTAATTGAGTTATTCTATTCCTGGGCTTGGTAGTCCATGAACTTCAGCATAATTTTTCAAAAAATTCTTTATAATTTCTGCACCATTTTTGTCAATCACCATTTTAGTTTTCCATTGAAGCATCCTTTTAATATTACCATGAACTCTTGTTAAAAGACCATGGTTTATCAGATTATTTCTGATATTTTCCTTTCAAAATAAGTTCTACCAATCCCTAACATATTAAAATAGGTTTCTTGACAAAGGGGTGTATTATGATCCCAGTGATAGAAAGTTCTTTTATTAGATCTGGTTGTCTTTTTAAGGCATCTACTAGTACTTGTTGATCCACCATCCATTGCTTTAATTTGTGCCATTGAAAATATGTCTTGTTCAGACTTGGAAAGTGCTTGAAATGATTCCCTTAATTCTGCAAATTCATCCTTGAGAATTCTTGAAGAACAACTACAATCACAACCTTTTTCTAAAAAATCAATTGCTTTTTGATATTCATTAGAACCATTATACTTATTATTACTTTTCATATACACCTATCCCTATATATATAATTTTATAATTTCATTCACTTTGTAGGTTTTCATTTATTTTAAGATTGAAGAGATCCTAAAATTGGTCCTGTGGTGATGAGCAAAGTGGGCAGAAAACAATTAAATTTGAGTGGATCTGCAAATAAATATCATAAATATTTTCTATTTTCAGTATATAATTCAATAGTTGATATAAAAAAAAATCCTCAACTGTGCCATGAAAAATAATTATGTTAGATTCAAGTTATTTATTATTACTAAAAATGGATAAGAGAGACCTGAGATTTATTGATCAGAATAAAATTGATAAACAAATAAATAAATGAGAATTATTGTTATTTCTAAAAAACAATTGAAGAAAATTGTTGTTTTAAACTGATTACCACCTGTGTGGATTGATTCAATCATCAATGCTAGATGATTTAAGAATAATACCTTTCATTGCAAGAGTGGAATAAAATAATTACTTTTTAAACACAATTAATTATATATCTTGATTGGATAAAAAATAAACATGACTTAGTTTTTTGTTGTTATTTAATATATGTGAATACATGCATTCATTATATATTCATGATAATTTTAATGTTTATTCAATACATTTGATGTTGTCATTAACATAATCAAAAATTGCATCACCCAAGTAATAAATAATATCAAGACCATGCAGAAATGAAACTTCATTACTGCTAATTTATTTACTAAAAATTTTTCCTGATTGTCGATCATATCAAATTAATGACGCACTATTTTAATAATACTTTTGGTGTCACAATCTCAAACGATAATATATCACGACAGTATTGCCGTATTCAGAAATCAAAAATAAATAATAATACATGTTTGAATAATGAACCAACTAACTGAAAAAAGAAATCTTGAAATAAACTAATTATATTATAAAAATTTTGAATAAATATACAAGGTGTTCTGTTTACCGAGCTATATATTGAAAAAAATAATTAAAAATAAAATACCATTTTCTTACTTTTTTTACTGGTCTAAAATTTCTTTTTCCAAATTGCATAAATAAACGAAAAATAAACTACATTAATCATTTTCTACTTAGAATATTTTATACAATACTTAAATTGCATTTCCTATACCATTCATTATCTTTAAATCAATAATTTATTAATACTTGAAATTATTATCTAAAATGAATTCAACAAACAATTCTATCGAAGAAAGCAACTTTCCCATTGATCCAATTATTAAATACACTAACACAGGTTCAATTAGTAATAATTTTCAATATGAAGTTATAGAAATAGTATATTATCCCGAAAATCCCAAAACCACTCATGGAAAAAATGGTCATGCTATCCCTAATGAATATAAAATTAAAACAACATTTGGGAAAAGCGTAATAACATGTTCAATTCATTATGATGAAAATAATTCGCCTGTTTTTCAGATTGACTGGATTAAAGATGATGAAGTTTTTAATGTATATTCGGAAAATTCAGCAACAGAGGCTTCTAATTTATATTTCATGGTAAATTAAAATTTATATTGCATTAATTAATCAGAACCAGTTTCGTCAAACATTCCCAGTTTTTTTAAATGCTAATTTAATTTCACATCCTTTTTTAAAGAAACTTGGATCAAGTTCACGAAAGTCAGGAATATTAATGTTTGGATTGCAGTTAGAATGCCTTAAAATTTATTGTGAACAAAATCAAGTACAACACCTGTTTGCTTCCTCGGTCAGTCCCATTGAGGAAAATTGTATTTGAAGAAGATTTAATGCTTTTAATAGTTTATCAACTTCAGGTCAGAGATTAAGAGTCATATCAGTAGGCCAAGATATGCAACAGACATTTGAAAATAGTAAGTCATCTGCTTTAAATATTAATGAAGAATTAGAACAAGCATTATTAATCAAAACAATATTTGAAGCAAATGATACTCGCTATGAACTTTCTTTTAATAAAAAAAAATCAAATGTCGAAGAAATAGCCATTGTCAAAGTAATGGATGAACATGATATTGGTAGAGATTAATATAGAGCATTAGCAGCATTAATCAATATATGCAATTATTTTTTTTATTTGGTTAATTTTTTGTCTTTAAATGATTAAAAAAAAGCAACATATTACTTTTAATGTTCCCTGACTTGAGAAAAAGTGTACTGCATGTTCAAGAGCTTGCATTGCATTCTTTTCTTTGTAAACTTGTTATTAAAACCCACATCCCCGCATCAATTTTAAAATCTGAACCAAAAATATTAATTTGTGTGGCCTAATTAGCAATCGCCAATAACAAGTGACTAACTTCGTCATAGCAATAGTAGTAAAGTAAGGATCTGCAATTATTATTATGAAAATCGGAAATAATTTTTTTAATAAACCATGCATTAGTTTTAATTATCTAATTATTTTCTTTAACATATTTTTATTAATAGATTTATCATGCATAAAGGTAGAAAGCTTAATTATCCAGATTTTATTAATTTGGTGTTCTATTGATATTTAATTTTGGAGAAGTTTTTTCTGCTAGTCGTCTACGTTTATTTTTAGTATTTTTTAAATTTAGGTTGTTGATAACTACTTCTGTTTGTTTTAATTTATGCTGCATAAAAAAAAAAAATTATTTTATTGTAATTGAATGCTATAATAGTGAATAATAGTAGTTACATACCTCTAATTCTTTAAAAACACAATAAAGATCCTCAAACATTCCTGCACAATCTTCTGATGATGGTATGATTGCCTTGTCGACTAATCCAAACAAATATATACCATCATCATTCCAGCTCATTGCGTAGATATTTAGCTCAAAGCCTGTGATAGGAAAAAGGAATAAGCTTATCTGATGATAAAAGTCTCATATAAGGTGATTTCAGGATATAACGTACCATGTAGTGTCCAACCATATAAAATTATTGACTTTCTTTCTTCTGCATTGATATGGTCCCACCCTTTTAATAGGCTATTTATTGAGTCTCTTAACATAACTGATAATTTTATTTTATCTAAGAATCTTTTCTTTCTAGTAGCACTGGGTAGGCCAAAAGAATTGAGTCCACCAGATACCTCGCCAAACAGGATTTCAGCTTTTTGTGGTGTTCTTGATAGAATACCCACCATATCTGCCTTCCTTCCAATCTTGGATCTTGCGAATGGATTATTATTTTCATTTCTTGCTTCGTTTGTTGAATGGACTTGAATTTCTCCCCTATAAGCAGAAGACATAATTTTGTTATTTTTTCTTAGTGAAAAACAATACAATTATAACTCACCATCTATCTTGAATAAATAAACTTGAGATAATTCCACGATAAAAAGGAAATACAGTTGTCATTTTTAGAACTTCTTCCGACACATTGTTTTTTAAATAGCTCATATTTGAGATCCTGCATAATAAAAGATAAGATTAACTTGTCAAAAAAATTTATGAACAAACTTATATTAAACAATGGCACTTACATATATTGAATATGAATATTAAAATTTTTATGATCTTTGTCTAAATCACTTCTACAATTATTACTAAAATAATTTTGAAGGATCACAGATGGTGGTTTAGGATTCCAACCAACTTTTCTATAAAATTCTCCTGAAATGCATTTGACCACATTATCCTTAATTTCTTGAACATTATATAGCGATTCCTTGGTCAAGTCCAATATCCCCCAATATGCCGGACTATAAGAATATATATATATGTTTATTTGTTTAAGTAGTCAGTAAATGTTACATAAAAGTTATCATAGAACTTACGTTACTATTCTCTTTGATTTCGGTACTGATGTTTTATATTTTTCAAAAGATTCTTTCAAGTCAGACCAGTTATACACAGACTCAAATAAATTGATTAGGTACCACAATATAAATAAGTATATTGAGCAAGTATAATGTTCAAGTCTTTGAATATAACAAAAATTACCTCATTCCCAGTACAAACATCCAATACTATCACTTCGTTATTCAAAGATTTTTCATCAATTGTAGAAAGAATGCTTTGTTCATTTACTTCCCCAAATAAATAAGTCTTATTTTCTTTTTCTTCATCTTCATTTTCTTCATATGATTGTTTTCTTTTTCGTTTATTATCATCCTATTATATTTTAAGAAAAAGGTCTCAACATTAAATAATAAAATATCCAAATAGTTTTGAATCAATAATTAACCTCTTCCATATTACTGTTCTTGCTATAATTAGAATTTTCGTCCTAGAAGAGAAAAAATCAATAAATATTAGCAAAATCAAAAGATGAGATTAAATGAAAACAAAAGTCATAGAATGACTTATGACCTTTTCCAATGCACTTTTCCTTGGCAACTCAGTATTAAATGTTCCATTATTTATTGTTCCAATTCCTATAGAACTACCTTTGAATTTTGGATTGAATAAATGTATTGAGGTACCAGTAATCCCTTGATTATTCGATTGTTCATCTCTCCACTTTCTTGCCAGATGTCTATCAGGTCGAGAACCCTAGAATAGAAAGCCATAGGTCAGATCAAAATATTAAACACCAAGTACCAGTTCAGCTCGAAGCCTTTGAACATAAGATAACCTCAAAGATTATCTATGCCCTAATACCTGCATAGGTGCTAGGTCAGCTCGAAGCCTTGAACGTAAGATAACCTCGAAGATTATCTACGCCCCAACACCTACACTGCTGCTAGGTCAGCTCAAAGCCTTGAACGTAAAGTAACCTCGAAGATTATCTACGCCCCAACAACAGCTTTGTCTAAAACTTTGAATCTGCCTATTTTTATACTTGCCTGTTTGTATTTGTTAAGAAGTAGTTGCGCTTTTTCGTGTCTGCTGCCTGTTTCATTGCTAACAATTGTCTCAAGACATGTAATATATTGTTCTATTTTTTTATCAAATGTCTCCATATCAGATTTATTAAGGAAATCCAAAATATTCCAATCTGTGGATTTGCGAGTAAAATATTCATGCATTCTGATATGAAAACAGAATTGATAAGTAGACTTTCTTATTTATTATATAATATATAATTTAATGAATTTAACGGTATCTTGTGTGATTCCAAAATAAATTATGTACGAGTAAGGACATTATGTCACAGGTGAAAAATATCAAGAGAAAGATCAAACTAAGCAGACCTACCTTAAGGAGGTGTTTGATGATATAAAACGGCAGTTAATACAGAGATTTTTTATTCTTGAAAGTTGTAATATTCGTGAAGATCAAGACGTGACGCGACAACATTGATCACAATAATAATAATAATAATAAAGTGAGCAAATTTGTGAAAAATATCAAGAGAAAGATCAAACTAAGCAGACCTACCTTAAGGAGGTGTTTGATGATATAAAACGGCAGTTAATACAGAGATTTTTTATTCTTGAAAGTTGTAATATTCGTGAAGATCAAGACGTGACGCGACAACATTGATCACAATAATAATAATAATAATAAAGTGAGCAAATTTGATTGGCCCAGAATACTGGACTTTTGATGCGTGTAACGCGTGACTATAAAAATAAATTTTTATATATTAAGGGTAGAGTGTAGGTAACACGAATTTCACTATGATATACTGTTGATAAAAAAATTACGTAACACTTTGAGTTGTTAGCCTCATACGTAAGTATGCCAAAAACAAATTTTTGTGAGATGTTTACTATTGCAAAATCCTTTTTCAGAACCTATCCAATCGTATTGTGATAAAAAATTTGATGTCTTGTTAAAAGATTCTTATAAAAAAAACTTGTAAAGTCAAAAGTAGTTTTCCCATGTAAACGTTCAAATAATTATCCCAATTATTAGCAACGTTTAGATATTTATTTAACAATGTTAATGAACTTGATAATTTTATTGTTGTAAAATTATATAAAAAGTTATCTTTATTTGTTTGAATTTTACATCTTTAA